AAATTATATGCATGAAAAAAAAAAAGATTACATGCATGAGCCACCGTGTCTGACCTAGAATTCTATACCCAGCTAAAATGATCAAATATAAGGTCAGAACAGTAACTTTCTGATATACAGTCTTAATTATTTTAACCTTGGTTTGAACCACATGAAAAGAGAAACCCAGAATGAAGAACAGAGATGTTAGGAAACAAAGGACCTAACAGGACAGAGGGTGAAAGTAAAGGTGGTCACAACATCACAGCAGAGCCTCTGCCCAGAGAGCTGCCAGTCCTCGCTGGAATAGGAGGCTGCATACCAAGGGGCATTCTCTAAGGAAAACACCAGAGCCAGTGGGGCCTCTGATCAACTTCACCCATGTAGAAAACTATGGAAATGCTGTGGGAGAACATGGGGAGAGTAAGCAAATGAAAAGAGAAGGCAGGCTGGGCACGATGGCTCATGCCTGTAATCTAAGCACTTCGGGAGGCCAAGATGGGCAGATCACCTGAGGTCAGGAGTTCAAGACCAGCCTGGCCAACATGGTGAAACCCCGTCTATACTAAAAATACAAAAATTATAGCTGGGTGTGGTGGCGGGGCACCTGTAATCTCAGCTACATAGGACTCTGAGGCAGGAGAATTGCTTGAACCTGGTAGGCGGAGGTTGCAGTGAGCCGAGATTGCGCCACTGCATTTCAGCCCAGGCAACAGAGCGAGACTACGTCTCAGAGAAGGCCAGGCGTGGTGGCTCACGCTGTAATCCCAGCACTTTGGGAGGCCGAGGTGGGCGGATCACAAGATCAGGAGATCAAGACCATCCTGGCTAACACGGTGAAACCCCATCCCTACTAAAAATACGAAAAATTAGCTGTGTGTGGTGGCACATGCCTGTAGTTCCAGGTACTTAGGAGGCCAAGGCAGGAGAATTGCTTAAATCCAGGAGGTGGAGGCTGCAGTGGTTGAGATCGTGCCATTGCACTCCAGCCTGGGCAACAGAGCGAGACTGTCTTAAAAAAAAAAAAAAGAGAAGGCGTCATTAGTGGTAGGAAAACAAAAAGCTATACAAGGAAATAGTCTGCTAATTGACCCAGCAAAGAACATTTAGATAGAGGTACTACCTGAAACACTGAATGTTTTAACAAAAAATTAAGTCTTAGAAAAGGTAGTGGAAGGGGAGGCAGATACTGGTCTAGAGTAAGAAGTGCATAGATGTGAACTCTTACCAATAGGCAAGAGTAGCATGAGCTGAAAGAGCACAGGGAGGCTTTGGGGAGTGGAATGGGAGCAGGGAGTTTGCACCACAGCCTCTGGCAACTGGTGACTCTAAGCGGTTGGTACGGAGACTTTTGACCATTTAATTTAAAAAATACTGTGATTCCTCCCTCTGTCCCTGGTGAGTTAGGTGAGCCTAGAGGTGTGCAGGCTCCCTGTGCTGCCAACCTTGGGCCCTACGCCTCGACTGCATGGCCTGTCTGCCTCTCTGAGCAGAGCCCTAGTGTTTAGGTGCGTGTACGTGTCATCGCACAAAGCCTCTATGTGCAGGTATCATGAGGCACATAGCCTTCCATCACTGTGGCTGGAGGCGCCTGCCACATGTAGCATTGGCTCACCCTGTACTTAGGGCCTGGCCTTACCTGCAGTGTAGCCTATGTCCTGCATGGTTAGGAAAAACAAGGTCTCTTTGGACTTTCTAGCTCAGAAGCTGACCTTAGATGTTAGCTGAGGTTCATGTTTTAGTGGATTGGAGAAAGAGAAAGGTCCAGTATCATAGGCACACAGAGAGTTTCCAGAAGCCACAAGAGATTTGGAGCTGGGATACTGGGAGGAGCCTCTGACTCAAGGGTTTGTATCTTGGCTGGTCCCATACTGGCCATGACTCTAGGGTCAAGCTCAGTAGGAGAACCTAGCACCTGTATCCACATGCTGAGTGCCACCATCCAGACCGTTACCTGCTTGTGGGAACTGAATATGAGATCTTCGTGAGTCTGCAGTCCCCACAGGTCAAGCTCCTGCCTGCAGGTGCATCCTTGGGGGAACTTCACAGCTTTTTCTTTCCTCCTTGGCCTCTAGGCATTGAAGTTGATATTGATGTGGAGCATGGAGGGAAAAGAAGCCGCCTGACCCCTGTCTCTCCAGAGTGTTTCAGCACAGAGAAGAGCAGCTCGCAGTCAAGCAGCTGCTACTCTGAGCCCAGCAAGCCCCGTGGGAACGTTGAGGGCGCCACGCAGTCTCTGGCGGAGCAGATGAGAAAGATTGCCTTGGAGTCCGAGGGGCACCCTGAGGCAAGCCTGTGCTCCTCCCGCCACCTGGGACCGTGGCCAGCCTAGTGATCTGTGGCCTGCACCTCTGCATCATCCTCAGCACCTATGCAGCCCCACTTACAAAATCCAAGGGAGCTGCTGCTATTCCTGTAGTGATGTCTGTGGCATTAAAGTCCTTTGGGAACCTGCTAGAATTTTGTAGTTACTTGGTCTTTGAGAGTGGCTCACTGTTCCCTGTAGCCCCCTGCAGCTTTAAATGCATGTGCACATGCACGCTCCCTGGCACACGTGCCAGGAGTTGTGTCATGTTAGGCTTGGCCTGTAGCGCATGCCTCCTGTGTGCTCATGGTGAGTTTTGTTCCAGGAACAGATGGAGTCTGATAACTGTTCAGGAGGAGATGATGACTGGACCCATTTGTCTTCAAAAGAAGTGGACCCATCTACAGGTGAACTTCAGTCCCTACAGATGCCAGAATCTGAAGGGCCAAGCTCTCTGGATGCCTCCCAGGAGGGACCCACAGGGCTGAAGGAAGCTGCCTTATACCCGCATCTGCCGCCAGGCAAGTGAACCAATAGGCTTTGTATTCATTCCTACCTTTCCCTTCAGAGCATCCTGTCCCCTTCTGATTTCAGCGACACAAACATAAGGATGGGATGTTCTCCACTGCGGGGCTTGTCTGTAGGCTGGGGAGGTTAGGAGTTGGTTTTGTCCTCTTAGGTCTACACTGAGCAACAGCGAGTAAACTCTGCTAATGTAGGAGTTTTAAAAATTTTTCTTGAAGCAAACTCCAGAGCAAGGAATATTAACTGTAGGAGTTTCTAAAACTTAACATGCAGACCTGGATTTAAGGCAGGTGTGACCCAGAGTGGGAGTAGCACTGGGTGTGTCCCCACGACTCACCTTGGGCTCAGACTCTTCAGTGTCTCCTCAGGGAGGGCTGGCCTGAGAGTGGGGGTCATAGCCGAGATCCCTATAGGAACCAGGCAGAAGCCACCACTGAAGTGGGTGGTGTAGAAGGCAGTGAGGGTAGGGTGGGGGGACAGCTGACACGCAGCTGAGACTCCTCATTGTCACATGGCAGCCGTGGGTAAACCAAGGTCCGTGTGCACCACCTGCCATGGGCTGCTGGTATGTGTCTTCTCCGCCTTAGGGGAAGGGATGGTGAGCTATGGCCTACGGGCCAAGAGTATTTCTTATATTTTTAAATCAAATGATGTGACAGTTAGATGAAATGCATATTTCAGTGTCCATTGATAGTTTTGTTTACATACCACCTGGCTGCCTTGTGTCACAGTGGCAGAGTTGAGCAGTGCGAAAAAGACTGGCCCTTTACAGAGAAAGCAGGTCCACCGTGGCCTAGGCCAGAGCTCTGGGCAGGCTCGGCCACTGGCAAGCCTGGTCCCAGTTGGCCAAGGCAGGAGGCTGTGTGTTTCGGGTCACTCAGGGGGCTCAGCGCCATTCCTCATGGCTTCCTTCCTGTTTCGGCAGAGGCAGACCCACGGCTGATTGAGTCCCTCTCCCAGATGCTGTCCATGGGCTTCTCTGACGAAGGTGGCTGGCTCACCAGGCTCCTGCAGACCAAGAATTATGACATCGGGGCAGCTCTGGACACCATCCAGTATTCGAAGCATCCCCCACCGTTGTGACTGCTTTTGCCCACCTCTTCTGTTGTCCCCCCCCCACCTTGTGTGTCATAGTTGTGTTAAGCTAGTGTAGAATTGCAGGTCTCTGTATGAGCCAGTTTCTCTGCCTTCTTCTTCCAGGATCAGGGATTGGGATGCAAGAAGCCATTTAGGGAGAAGCAAAACAAGTGATGTGAGGGGAGAGTCCTCGTGTGTGCACTGATGTCTGAGAAACAAGACCGGCCTCCGGGTTCCCTGGCTCCTTGCAGTGGTGCTGTGCTTGTGAGACATGAGGCTCACTGCAGTGTGCTCCTGGCCGCCCCCATGCAGGGGCTACATTAGCAGCCCAGCACATAGCTTGACTAATGGCCTTCCACTCTTTTTTTTTTTTTAATGACTTATAGGTCCCTGACATTTAGTTTATTTTTCTGCTAGAGACCTGGTACTCTCTGATTTTATTATTTTTTTATTATTTTATTTTTATTTTTTTCTCTCATTAGATCCATGGTAGAAGTTACTCTTTGATTTTAGATAAAGTAAGCCTAGGTATTGTCTGGGGGTAAGCAGGGGAGGGGGCTGTCTTGGCGCAGGCAGTGGCAGCCAGTGCTGTGGGCTTCCTGTAGGGACTGAGAAGGCTCATGAAGGGTGTCCGCAATCACTGAGAGCTGCTTCCTGGTCTCTTCACCACTGTATCTCTCATTTCCAAACCACCAGTAAGATCTCTTTGTAGCTATCCTATTATATTTGTTAACAATCTAAATGGTTTCAGCACTTTAACCAATGACATTTGCATAGAGAGAAATTATCTGTTTGACAGTAACTTTATTGTTGGTGATTCTTACACAGTATGTTTAAAAGCGCCTTAGGGGAACCCTGTCCCTCCTAACAAGTGTATCTCAATTAATAACCTGCCAGTCTCAGATCACAGATCATCATCAAAGTCTTCCCCGGTTGTAAAGAGGTCACATAGTTGTGTGGGTTGGGGATTCTGTGCCTCTTGGACCAAGGGCCCACCCTCTGCCTGACAAGTCCTTGTGTCCCCTGAGGTCTTCCTGCAGGGCCTCTCAGGCCCAGATGTGAGGGTGTGTGTGGCTTGAGGAAGCTGGGCAGCAGCTGTGGGCCTACTGAGGCCTTCCCTTGAAGTCTGTGCTATGGGGGCCCCTTGCTTAGCCTGTGCTGGCCCAGCTGGCCTGTGGTTCCTCTGCAGAGGCCTTGGCTGCTCTCTGTCCACATGTGAACTGTTTCTAGGTGACAGGACAAATTGTGCCCATTTAGAGGATGTAGCTGTAACCTGCCCAGGACCCCTCAGCTCCCTGATGCTGCACTCTGCATTGTTCTCCCGGAGGCACGGGCTGCCGCCTTGTTTCACCTTCCATGTCAGGCCAGCCTGTCCCTGAAAGAGAAGATGGCCATGCCCTCCATTTGTAGTAAAAATGACAGGGCCCAGCAAATCACCTGCCATGCCTGGGTCTTGGCTGGGCCTATGGTTCTGACACTTTCTGCTGGAATCTATCATCAGGCTGAGGACAGGCTTTGATTTTGAGGGTTAGCAAGACAAAGAAAATAAATCCCTTCTATGTCACACCAAATCTTCTGCTAAAGTGCATGACCAGGCCTTCCCAAAACAAGACATTTTCATGTCATCAAGTAATCCATTTCCTGGCAATCTTAGAATCAAGTCAGTGGTACCTAAAATGGAGGTGTGAGCAGAGAGGGCATAGAGATGTCTGGAAAGGGGTGGGCTGGCTCCATCCTACCACCTCCCACCTGGGATTGGCTCTCCAGAGCCTGCCAGGTTCTGCAGCTGCAGAGGTGGCAGCACTAAGCTCCCTGTGGGATAGGACCTTGGTGCTGTGGCCTGGCTTCGCTCACCCCAGGAACCAAAGATGCACTGAAAGTTGGGGTGTAGGCTGGGTATGGTGGCTCATGCCTGTAATCCTAACACTTTGGGAGGTCGAAGCAGGTGGATCACTTGAGACCAGGAGTTCGAGACCAACCCGGCCAACATGGCAAAACCCTATCTCAAATAAGAATATAAAAATTAGCCAGGTGTGATGGCATGTGCCTGTAATCTCAGCTACTTGGGAGGCTGAGGCTGAGGCAGAATCATTTGAACCTAGGAGGCGGAGGTTGCAGTGAGCTGAGATTGTAACATTACACTCCAGCCTGGGCAACACAGCAAGACTCTGTCTCAAAAAAAAAAAAAAAGAAAGTTAGGTTGTAGGCTGAGAGCAGTGGCTCATGCCTGAATCTCAGCACTTTGGGAGGCCAAGGCAGGCACATCACTTGAGGCCAGGAGTTCAAGACCAACCTAGCCAACATGGTGAAACCCTATCTCTACTAAAAATACTAAATCTCTACTAAAAATTAGCCAGAGATGGTGGCATGCACCTGTAATAACAGCTACTTGGGAGGGTGATGCAGGAGAATCACCTGAACTCGGGAGGCAGAGGTTGCAGTGAGCCAAGATCATGCCATTGGACTCCAGCTTGGGCAACAGAGTGAGACTCCATCTCAAAAAAAAAGATGAGTTGTATTGCTTACAAAGAGATGTGAAAGCAATAAGAGTGGGTCCCTGCTGCACTGCCACCCAGGCAGTATGGAAGAGGCTCTGTGGCCCTGACTGACACTTGATGTTGGCTTTGCTACTGAACTTGCTGTGACCGCACAAAAACTGCAAGCCTCAGTTCCTCACCTTTAAAACAAGGCAACAGGCTTGATAGAGCATAAAACACAATGATACCATTAAAACGTGCAGCCTAGGGACTGACATGTAGTGGACTCTGTGATCATTCTTCTGGGATTTGGGGATTCACGGCCACATACTTAACCCATGATCACAAAACTAGTTGGCAGAAATAAGGTTTGAACTCTGCCTCTTGCCATGAGCCAGTGCTCTAGTGCATGGTGTGAGGCCAGCCAAGTCTGACCTTGGCTGACATGGGGGTGGGGGCAGTGACTGAAGCCCAGTGGACTCCCAACTGCAGTGCCCTTACTTGTGCCCTGGCTCCTGTGACAGGCAGAGCAAACCCTGCACTCTGTAGCACTGGATATGCGGTGGGTCCTACTGGATTGGAAGCTTAAAGAACAAGACTACTGGGCCAGGTGCAGTGGCTCACACCTATAATCCCAGCACTTTGGGAAGTGGGAAGACTGCTTGAGCACAGGAGTTTGAGACGAGCCTGGACAACATAGTGAGACCATGTCTCTATAATTTTTTTTTTTTCTGTCACCCAGCCTGGAGTGCAGTGGTGTGATCTTGGCTCACTGCAACCTCTGCCTCCCAGGTTCAAGTGATTGTCCTGCCTCAGCCTCTCGAGTAACTGGGATTACAGGTACACAACATCATGCCCAGCTAATTATTTTTAGTAGAGATGGGGTTTCACCATGTTGGCTAGGCTGGTTTCAAACTCCTCACCTCAAGTGATCCACCTGCTTTGGGTCTCCCAAAGTGCAAGGATTATAGGCGTGAGCCACTGTGCCTGGCCTCTACGAAACATTTTTTAAAAAGAGCCAGCGTGGTGGTGCACATCTGAAGTCCCAGCTACTTGGGGGACTGAGGCAGTAGGATCACTTGAGCCTGGGAAGTTGAGGCTTCAGTGGGCTATGATTGTGCCACTACACTCTAGCCTGGGTAGACAGAGTGAGACCCTGTTTCAGAAAGCAAAAAAGAACAAGATAACACCCTAAGTGAAGAGTGCCTCACATATGAGAGTCCACACCTGGGGAAATGCGAGTGTGGAAGGAAGCATCTCCCAGGATTCAGGGCGGGCCCACTGACTACTCCTGCCTGGACAAAGGTCCCTGTGCTCCATGCAGAATAAGACAATGGCCCTGACCTAGAAAACCCCTGCTGGCCAACCTTTGTTGCTCCAAGGTGTCACAATGTCCTTTGGTCTTGAGTTACCCTCATGGGAGACAAGAGGCATGAGAGGGAAAAGCGGGTATAGACCCGATGAAGGAGTTGGCTTCAGACAGAAAAGACAAGAAACCCAAGTGGGAAGATGGGCTTTCTGTGGGTAAGAATCATATACTTAGTCAACTGTGACAAAAGACAAAATTATCCCACACATACTCAGTGGTCAATAGGACCAGAAAGAAACTGTTCCGTGTCACTGACCTTCTGGGGTTCCCAGGCGACCTCAGAGCCATCGGAGTCCTGGATGCCAAGGCTGCATGGAGGCTGGATGGTGCTCTGGCTCCACTTCCTGGCAGGATAGCACTGTCAGTACTCCTGTGCTACCCTTCAGTGGTACCCCAAGCCTGACTCAACGATCACATGGCCCACAAGCCTGGGTGGCAGCCTGCTCGTCCCTACAGCTTCCCAGGCAGCTGCTCAGCCTGCCCAGCCACCACCCAGGCCCCACTCCCCTGCTTCCTAGCTCCCAGTTGCTAGAAAGTTTTGTTTGTTTTATTTTAGTCAGAGTCTCACTGGCACCCAGACTGGAGTGCAATGGCACAATCATGGCTCACTGCAACCTTGACCTCCTGGGCTCAGGTGATCCTGCTGCCTCAGCCTTCCAAGTAGCTGGGACCACAGGCATGCACCACTATGCCCCATGAATTTGTTTTAAAAATTTGTTGTGCCAGGCGCAGTGGCTCAAGCCTGTAATCCCAGCACTTTGGGAGGCCGAGGCGGGTGGATCACGAGGTCAAGAGATCGAGACCATCCTGGTCAACATGGTGAAACCCCATCTCTACTAAAAATACAAAACATTAGCTGGGCATGGTGGTGCGTGCCTGTAATCCCAGCTACTCAGGAGGTTGAGGCAGGAGAATTGCCTGAACCCAGGAGGCGGAGGTTGTGGTGAGCCGAGATCGCACCATTGCACTCCAGCCTGGGTAACAAGAGTGAAACTCCGTCTCAAAAAAAAAAAAAAAAAAAAAATTTGTTGTACAGATAGGGTCTCCCTATGTTGCCAGACTTGTCTCAAACTCATGGGCTCAAATGATCCTCCTGCCTTGGCATCCCAAAGTGCTAGGATTTCAGGTGTGAGCCACTGTGCCTGGCTGAAAGTTCTCATTTGAAAGCAGAATCTACCTCCTGAAAGCACCTGCCCTCTAAAAGCCACCCTAGAACTTTAGCCTAAGGCAGTCTCCAAAAAACTCACTGAAATGCCCGAAGCAGAAGAGACCTTCCACAAGTCTGAGGTCTCTGCTCCTCTGTGCTAAAAGCTGTTGGCCTGTCAGCTACTCTGGCCACTTCCCTGAGGTCAGTACAGTCTGAGATGTTCCGAAGTAAGTCGGCATCATAAAGGGTATGCATGCTGGTATCCTGCCCAGCTCTTGCCTCTGCACCAACAGTGCCCAATGCCCAGGTGGGCTGAGGGGCTGGCAGTGGCAGCAACTACCCATTTTCCGATGTGCTGGCACTTACCACCTAGGTTTCTCCAGCTTGGCTGATGCTCACAGTGGCTCACTGGTACCCCGCTGCCAGGGCAGCATAGGCTCTGGGCCAGGTCTGGACCAGAGATACACTTGGTACCTTTTTCTAGGCAGGTCTTGACTGAAGTGGGGGCCTGGCTCCTCAATTTTGGATGAAGGCTGTTTGCTGAAGCACACTCCTCCTCCTTCCAGCTTCAGTTCTTGGGAGTCCTTTTCTAGATACTTCAGCCAGCGACTCCCTGAGGGATGTGATTTTTCCTACCAGATTGAGAAAAAAGCTGATTCTCAGTACTGGAAAGCAGGCAGTTTTATCGAAAACCCCTAGTCCAACTCTTAGGCCTTAGGATCTCAGGAATCATGCCTACCTCCACTCTAGGAAAGGCATTGGCTGGAAGGTGATGGACACCAATATCCTATGATGCTGGCAGGATACTGCTCGCTGGTACAGGCCTTGGGTAGGTGGCAGGGCACAGCCAGCCAAGAATCTCATGAATGTCTATGCTCCTTGGCCCAGTGATTCCACACAAAAAGAGAAGGCAGCAATGCCAGTCCCAGTCTTATAAATAATAGCAAATGTTATTTATAAAAGCAGAAGTGTGGAAACATGGCTGGGCATAGTGGCTCACACTTGTAATCCTAGCTCTTTGGGAGGCTAAGGCGGGTGGATCACCTGAGGTCAGGATTCGAGACCAGCCTGGGCAACATAGTGAAACCCCATCTCTACTAAAAATACAAAAATTAGTTAGGCATGGTGGCAGGCACCTGTAATCCCAGCTACTTGGGAGGCTGAGGCAGGAGAATTTCTTGAACCCGGGAAACAGAGATTGCAGTGAGCCGAGATCATGCCACTGTACTCCAACTTGGAGGACAGAGCGAGACTCTGCGTCACATGAAAGAATTTCGAAAGAGAGGGAAAGGAAAGGAAAGGGAAAAGGAAAGGGAAAAGGAAAGGAAAGGAAGAAAGCAGGCAGGCAGAAGTGTGGAAACAACCTAAATGCCACATAATAAAGTAATCAATACTAGTACATCTACTACATTCTGTAAATACTTTTGTTTTTTTGAGACATCGGGGCCCCAGTGAGCAGTGATCATGCCTCTGCACTCCAGCCTGGGTGACAGAGGGAGACCCTGTCTTAAAAAATAATAATAAAATAATAAATAATAAATGAAAATCACTGAAAACCATACAGCAACAAAGAAGAATGATATAACTGAAAACTAGGATGCAAAAAAGTATTTCTGATGAGAATGATATAAAATTCAGTCTGTAAGTGAACCAAATTGGAAGCACAGACAAAAGTACCAGAAGAGCATCTTCTTCTGCTTATAACAAAGTGTGAATCTGGCTAGGTGCAATGGCTCATTCCCGTAATCCCAGCACTTTGGGAGCCAAAGCAGGAAGACGGCTTGAGCCCAGGAGTTCAAGACCAGCCTAGGCAACATAGGGAGATTCTACCTCTATAAAAAAAAAAAAAAAAATAGCCGGGTGTGGTAGGGCATACCAGTTCCTAAGGAGCCTGAGGGTAGGAGGATCACTTGAGTCCAGGAAGTCAAGGCTGCAGGGAACCATGATCATGCCACTGCATTCTAGCCTGGGTGACAGAGTGAAACCTTGTTTCAAAGCAAAAACAAAAACAAAAAAAAAAAACAGCTTATAGTCTGTAACAAAGAAAGATGGAAACCCAGGTGTTTTACCCCATTATTTCCCTCTCAGAGATATGCCCAGGGTGATGTGGAAGCAAAGTGGAAGCAGTACAAGGTGATATTTGAGCTACCTTCAGAAGGAGCTCTCCAAGCAGAGGAGAGTCTTTTGCAGGGTATTGTAATGATTGGTACACATGGCTATCTCCATCCTTACAAAGGTACAGGTTTATTTATTTTTGTGTTCCCCATAGCTTTAGGCCAAGTGCCTGTCATTGGATGGCATCAACACACGTTTGCTATACAAATGACTACTGGATACATCTGTGCATTCATCCCTTCCCTGACACAGAGCCAGCCTGGGGCAGGTGGGCCTGATGCTTACCTGCTGCTTCACATTCCCAGCCTGCTGATGGCCCATGTTTTCTTCTTCACTGGCACTGACAGTTTCTTCTAGAGACCTTTGGGGAAGACCATACATATGCCCTTTGAAAAATGACCAGGGGCTGGGCTCATGCTTGTAATCCTACCACTTTGGGAGGCTGAGGTGGGTGGATCACCTGAGGTCAGGAGATCAAGAAAAGTCTGGCAAACATGGTGGTGCATGCCTATAATCCCAGCTACTCGGGATGATAAGGCAGGAGAATTGTTTGAACCCGGGAGGTGGAGGTTGCAAAATCGCTGGAAGATGGAATCAATGACAATGAAGATAAGATGAAGCCTCAACCTGCCTGGGCTCAGGTGATCCTCCCACCTCAGCCTCCTGAGTAGCTGGGACCACAGGCACACACCACTACATCTGGATAAATATTTTTCTTTTTGTAGAGAGGGTTTTGCCATCCTGCCCAGGCTGGTCCCAAACTCCTGGGCTCAAGGGATCTACCCACCTCGGCCTCCCAAAGTGCTGGGATTTACAAGTGTGAAGTACATATCCAGCAGGTATTTGATTTTAAAAATCATTTTCCAATTGTCCACTGCATGTGTATAGAAATACAATTTAATTTTGCATGTTGACCTTGTATCCTTGTGATCTTGCTAAAATATTAGTTCTAGTAGCTTTTTTTATAGATTCATTAGGATTTTCTACATACACAATCATGGTTTTATCCAGTATGGGATTTACTGTTGTTTCCTGAATCTAAAAATGTTAAGCCCTTGATTCTGGAAAATGCTGTGCTCTTATCTCTTCAATTATTGCTTTTGCCTCATTCTCTTAATTTTCTCTTGCTAGAACTCTTCTCTGTAACCTCCATGTCTCTCAACTTTTCCTCATATTTTCTACTTTTCCATTTTTCTGTGTGGCATTGTGAATAATTTCTTTCTTTCTTTTTTTTTTGAGATGGAATCTTGCTCTGTCGCCCAGGCTGGAGTGCAGTGGTGTGATCTTGGGCTCACTGCAACCTTTGCCTCTTGGGTTCAAGCTATTCACCTGCCTCAGCCTCCTGAGTAGCTGGGACTACAGGTGCGTGCCACCATGCCCAGCTAATTTTTTTTTTATTTTTAGTAGAGATAGGGTTTCACCATGTTGGCCAGGATGATCTCGATCTCCTGACCTTGTGATCCACCTGCCTTGGCCTCCCAAAGTACTGGGATTACAGGCATGAGACAACACACCTGGCTGCATTGTGAATAATTTCTTTAGATTTATCTTCCATTTCACGAATTCTCTTTTCAGCTGCATTTAATCTGTTTAACCTGTCACTGAGTTTTTAATTTCTTTTTTTCGAGACAGAGTCTCACTCTGTCACCCAGGCTGGTGTGCAGTGGTGTGATCTTGGCTCACTATAACCTCCGCTTTCTGGGTTCAAGTGATTTCCAGCTAGTTTTTGTATTTTTAGTAGAGATGGGGTTTCACCATGTTGGCCAGGCTGGTATTGAACTCCTGACCTCAAGTGATCCTCCTGCCTCAGTCTCCCAAAGTGCTAGGATTATAAGCATGAGCTACTGTGCCCAGCCTGAACTTTTAATTTCAATGATTATACTTTTAATTTCAGCAAACTCTTTTAAGACAGAGTCTCACTCTGTTGCAGCTTCTCTCTGGAGCAATACATTTTCAACCCAGGCCTCACTTGAGCCTGGGAGGTGGAGGTTGGCTCTCTACAACTTCCACCTCCCACACTCAAGTGATTCTTATGCCTCAGCCTCCTGAGCAGCTGGGATTATAGGTATGTGACACCACGCCCAACTAACTTTTGTATTTTTAGTAGAGATGGGGTTTCACCATGTTGGCCAGGCTGGTCTTGAACTCCTGACCTCAAGTGATCCACCTGGCTTCGCCTCCCAAAGTGCTGGGATTACAGGTGTGAAACACTGCACCCGGCCTCTTTTTGGTTCTTTTTCAAATACTCCTATTTTTTTTTTTTTAATGTGAGGGTGATCTGGCTGTGACATCTGTCACCTCATCAATCACCAAGGTTGATTCACTGATCTGGCTGGCTAGGCAGTGTCTCATTCCTCCCTCACAGCTCCATGTGCATCCCTCCTGACGCTGTGTGCTTGGTCAAAGAAAACAACCATCCCTGATAGTGGAGGACTGGTCTTCGGTCACGGGTATATGAGTAGCTGCACTCCCCTCCTAGAAACCTCCATAACGAGCTCTCAAATATACCTATTTTTTGAAGTCCCTCATCACTCTCTACATTTTTTTTTTTTTTTTTTTTTTTTTTTTTTTTTTTTNGTTGTATGACATTGTCTGCCTGTTCAATTAGATTGAGTTTCTCAAAATTTTATATTATTATTATAATTACGTAATCTATTTATATACCAAGAGCACCAGACCTGTGAGAGAGGCCATCCTAGATCAGCCAGGGCCAGTCCAGCTGTCCCAGACCAGACAACCAACCCAAAGAATTATGAGAAATAGTAAATATTTGTCCCTTTTGTTTTTTTTTTTTTTTTTTTGAGATGAAGTCTCGTTCTGTAACCCAGGCTGGAGTGCAGTGGTGCAATGTCAGCTCACTGCAACCTCTACCTCCCGGGTCCCAGTTCAAGCAATTCTCCTACCTCAGCCTCCCAAGTAGCTGGGATTACAGGCATGAGCCACAATGCCCAGCTAATTTTTGTATTTTTTAGCAGAGACGGGGTTTCACCATGTTGGCCAGTCTGGTCTTGAACTCCTGACTTCGTGATCTGCCCACCTTGGCCTCCCAAAGTGCTGGGATCACCCCCTTTTTAAATCAAATATATTAAACATGCAATATTATGTATTCTGAAGTCTTTATGGGTCTGACTTTTCTGACTGTTGTTCTGCTATCTTTTGCTCATGGTGACATATTTCCTTGAATGTTAAATGATTTTAAACTCTTAAGTATATGCTACTTGGAACTTTTTCTGTGGGAATTCTTTAAGGCCTGGGTTGAAGGCATATTGCTGCAGAGAGAAGCTGCATTTACCTCTGCTTCCTGGGACAAATGAAAGATATAATCAGCTTGAGGCTTTTCACACAGAGTATGTAAAAGGATGAAAAACCATGGTATTTCCAAAATCTTAAGAGATATCTCCCCCTCTTCAGCCATTGCCAAAGTCAATACAGGCAAGCTACCTGTTGCAGAGTGGGTCTAGTTCATTTGTACACTGAGGGTATAGTCTTCTGGAGGCTCAGTTTTGTATGGAGGTGTCCTACTGGCCTTCCCATGCTGACCAGGCTGTAGGTTTTGTCTTCTGTCTCCTGCACCCCTCTCAGCCATCTAAATGGAAGCTCCAGAGCACTAGGCTTCAATCACCCTAGGAGCTCAGGTGCTTCCTCTCTGGCTTTAGGCTTTTTTTTTTTTTATGCCAGTTAAATTTAGCAGTGGAGAGTTATACCAACTTTAGTGACACTAATATTAATAAATTCTGATAGCCCACTACCATCAGACCAGCTTCGTTTTCGTTTTTAACCTATGAGAGTTACTTACTTTCTTGTCAGCGTATCAGTGCATTTAAAATAGCTAGCATTTTTAGTATTTTCAATGCAAAAATTGCTCAGGGTGTTTGACTGCCATATTGTAAGACATGGAAGTCTAAGGGACTTCTCCACTGTGTACTTCTATTATCCAGTCAAGATTAAAACAGGCCAAGACAATCACACTCTTCTCAAACAACTGTACCTGAGTGGCAACTCTGAAACTTGTCCCTGTAGCAGATTTAATTTTTGGACATGCCGTCTACAGTCAGCACCAGAACCTTCACCATAAGCCTGAGAGAACAAAAAAATATATAAAATTTAAAAAGTGTTGGCAGAATGCTGAGAAAACAGATCCATTTGAGATGCACCTCAGGGAGGACAAAGCTATATTCTGTAAGGCCCAAAGACCCCTAAGGCATCATGCAGGAATCCTGACTGACTGACTGCTATCTCTAGAATGATTTACAAACCAGCTGCCTCCAGAACTAACAGTTTAGGTCTATCTGGCTGTCCCACAAGCACCCTGAACTCTACCTAATGAAGCCAAACTCAACCCAAAGGCCTACACGAATGGTTAGTGAACATGAATAAAAACGTCACAAGAGAAGTAACACATATTGCCATATTATATAACATACTGCTAAAAAATAAATGAAATGATACTTATTCTCACTGATAATCAAAGGAATACAAAATAAAATACATTTTTTTCCACTTAGCAGTCACAAATTCATCCAATAAATATTTATTGACTACCAACTATGTGCCAGGCCTCATCTAGAGGTAGATAATACAGGAGTGGACAAGACTTCCTGTCATCATGGAACTCACAATCAAGTAAGAAGAGATAGGAAATAAACAAGTGAGGCATGTAACCTATCAGATGCTAATAAGTGCTCCTAAGGAAGATAAGACCAGGAAAGAGGCCTTACATAAGAGTCTACAGTTTTACATAAGGTGTTCAAAATGGTCAAAGAATGGATCTCTAAAAAGGTAATGTTTGAGTCCAAACAGGAAGATATGAAGAAGCAAACCACATGGATGTCTGGGGGAAGAATTCCAGCAGAAGCAATGATCTGAAAATGAGCATGAAGACCCTAAGCCTGGCATTTTGCAGAAACAGTGAAGAGGCCAGCATGACTGGAGCTGAGTGGTCTAAGGGGAAGATGGTAAGAGACAATATTTGAGAGTATGGGTCCTACCATAGGCAGAATCAGCTTCCCGGGTATGAGATCTGCTCTGCTATTGCTGTCTTGAAATTCTTAATAATCTGATCTTTGAACCTGTGTTTTGTAAGTGAAATCCGATGGGACAATAGAGCACATCTGTGATCAGACACATACACTATACATGTCCACTGCTCCTCAACACCCCACTGGCAGGAGCATTCTTGATGTCCCGTGGACACAGAATTCCTGTAGACACCCAGTGCCTGCAGCTAGTAAGTCAAGTGAGAACTGAGAACTAATCATTGTTTTTAGCAACATAGAGACCACCGCTGACTCAGACACAAGCAATTTTAATGGATAGGTAGGGAGTGTAGTCCTGTTTGGAGCACATTCAAGTGAGAAGAGAAAAGAGTAACTGGAAGAGGAGATGGCAAAGTTGCAAAAGACCAGGCTGGCATAACCAGTAGCAGTGTGCTCTTCCATAGGGCAGAGACTGCTGGCTGGATAGTGAAGAGCATTCTTCCCGAACGTGGGCACAAAACTAGACTTCATTTTCCAGTGTGTGTGTGGTCAGGGTGGCCACAAAACCAGGCTCTTTTCATGGTAGTGTCACTTGTTTCCCAGCCTGGCCCTCAAAACCTCCTGGTAGCTCCTCCACGCACTCACTTGCCCTTCTCAGTGGCTTGAAGCAGCTACAAATGAGCCTCAGGGAATAAAAGAAGCTCAGGGGCCGGGCGCAGTAGCTCACGCCTGTAATCCCAGCACTTTGGGATGCCGAAGGCAGGTGTATCACAAGGTCAGAAGTTTGAGACCAGCCTGGCCAATATGGTGAAACCCCATTTTTTTTTTTAAAGACATTTATTCAGCATCACAATCAAACTATTACATTTAGCAATCAACAGCACGGGTGCAAAAAAGAAAAAAAAAGAAAAAAAGAAAAAAAATCTACATTAAAACCCTTTGTTGGAATGCTTTACACTTTCCACAGAACAGAAACTAAAATAACCTGTTATACAATTAGTCACAAATACAGTCCTCGAGTTTTTTGCCCATACACATGAGTATTTGTCTAAATCATGTCTTCTTTGTAGCGGCTAGGCCCTACCACCACTGTGCTTGGCTGAGTTCACAAATCTGTTGTAACCTGTAGCTTCCCTGTCACTTCTCTGGCTCTCCTCTCCTGCTAAGCTTTGTTTCCTAATTAAAATCTTCTGCCACTGCCATAGCTACTGCTGCTACTGGAACCGCCATAGCCACCTTGGTTTCGTGGTTTGGCAAAGTATTGGCTGCCACCACCACAGGGGCCAGAGCTCCTGCCTCCAAAGTTTCCTCCCTTCATGGGTCCAAAATCTGAAGACTGATTGTTGTAATTGCCAAAATCATTGTAGCTTCTGCCACCTCCAAAATTGTTTCCATCATTACCAAATTCATTATAGCCATCCTCACTGCCACCATATCCACCACCACCATAGCTGCCACCAAAGCCACCAAGATCACTGAAGTTTCCTCCATGACCAAAGTTGCACTGAAACCAGCTCCACAACCACCACCAAAGTTTCCAGAACCCCTTCAACCTCTGGCTGGATGATGCACTAGCTCTTGCTTTGAGAGGGCTTTCCTAACTTCACAGTTGTGGCCATTCACAGTATGGTATTTCTGAATGACAATCTTATCCACGGAGTCATGGTCGTCAAATATTATAAAGGCCAAGCCCCTTTTCTTGCCACTGCCTCTGTCAGTCATGATTTCAATCACTTCAATTTCTCCATACTGTTCAAAATAATCTCTTAGGTGATGTTCTTCAGTGTCTTCTTTAATGCCACCAACAAATATTTTTTTCACAGTTAAGTGGGCACCCGGTCTTTGAGAATCTTCTCTTGAGACAGCCCTCTTTGGTTCCACAACTCTTCCATCCATTTTGTGTGGCCTTGCATTCATGGCTGCATCCACCTCCTCCACAGTTGCATACGTGAGGAACCCGAAGTCCCTGGAGCACTTTGTGTTTGGATCTCTCATTACCACACAGTCTGTGAGTGTTCCCCATTGCTCAAAATGGCTCCTCAAGCTCTCATCGGTTGTTTCCAAGCTCAGCCCTCCAATGAAGAGCTTCCTCAGCTGTTCCGGCTCTTTAGGAGACTCTGACTTAGACATGATTGGAGGGAGAAGAGAGACTTTAACGATGCTTCCTCGGCAGCATCCACAGGCAAAAAGGAGCAAACTGACGAACGTATCTCGAAACCCCATCTTTACTAAAAATACAAAAAAATTAGCCAGGCATGGTGATGTATGCCTGTAGTCCCAGCTACTTGGGAGGACGAGACAAGGAGAATCACTTGAACCTGGGAGGCAGAGGTTGCAGTGAGCTGAGATTGCACCACTACTGCACTCCCAGGACTGTTATGAGAGCAAGAGAAACAATGTCTATTTATTAAGCCACTGCAATTTTGGTGTGTGTTTGTTACTGTGGCCTAGTCAGCCATATACCATATACCACACATAGCACAGAGGCACTAAGGGGAGTAGGAAGGCTTCCTCAAGGAGAATGTAGAAATACATACATCTCAAACAAGCCATGCTCACCATGCGGGGTGTCTACCTAGTAAGCCAGCCCCTGTCTTCTGAGACCCAATCCCAGTTGACTAGACCAGAGGTAGATATCCGAACCAGCCTGGGCCAACCAGATTACTTCTCCTAGGAATTTATAATTGGGACTCAGCTCTTCCACTTGGCTTGGAATGAGATTCTGTGCACTTGGAACAGAGAATGTGACTATGAATTGCCTGGGGAGAAACAGAAGGGAAGGAGAAGAGAAAATCAAGCAAAGATATAGAGAGAAGCTGGGTGACGGGGAGAAGAAGGAAGGAAAAGCTGATACCTGGCTTGTTGGCAGCTTTTCAGTTCTTGGGGTTAGTTCTTCAAGGGATCAGGAATGAAGTTCTGCCCCTTGGATTCCCTAGGATATCTCATTACCTTGCCAGTACATTTTTATTTTTATTTTTTTACTTTGCTGAACCCATTCTGAAGTGCTTTTTACCCTTTTTTTAAAAAAAATCAGGTGAAGGCACTCATCAACATTATAAAGTGTTTTTGTCTATTACTGCAACTAAAAGAACCTTGATCAAAAGATATCCTTTAAAACAGCAATTTAGGCCAGGCGCAGTGGCTCACACCTATAATCCCAGCACTTTGGGAGGCCGAGGCGGGCAGATCATTTGAGGTCAGGAGTTCAAGACCAGCCTTGGCCAACATGGTGAAACCCTCTGTCTACTAAAAATAAAAAAAAAACAAATTTGCTGGGTGAGGTAGTGTGCATATGTAATCCCAGCTAATCAGAAGGCTGAGGCAGGAGAATCACTTGAACCTGGAAGGCGGAGGTTGCTGTGAGCCAAGATCACACCATTACACTCCACCCTGGTGACAAAGTGAGACTAGACTCTGTCTCACAAAAACTCCCCAAAAACAGCAATTTAACTTCTAGTACTTTGTCCTAAGTAAACAGTAAACAGCTGATCAAGTGAATAAAGAAGTATTTATACAAAGTTTCACTGTAGAGTTGTGCATAACAGTGAAAGGAAAATCAACCTAAATGCCCAACAAGGTTGGACTGGTTACTTACTCATTCAACAAGCACCAAGGACTGTGCTAGGTGCTGAGGATACACCAGTAAATAAAAAAGGAAAAGCTTCTGTTCTCATGGAACTTACAGTCTTAGATGGACAATCTGCACATAAATACATGAATATATAACTTTGATAGGATAATGAGAAGAGGGAGGGGAACTCCATAGTGAGCACAAAGGCCTGAAGAGGGAGCAAATTTGGGTTTAAGGTCAGAAAGCAAGCACCATGGCTGTAGGAGGAAAGATGGGAGGTGAAGGGAGAGGCAGCACTGGGGCTGAAGCAGGTAAAGAGAAAATTCAATAAGGCAAAGGATGCAGGGCAGCTGGGGTCCTTAGAGTTCAGGAGGGGCAATATGCATGGACTGAAAAGATGTGCTCAATGTAGGTGCAAACAGCAGGCTGGATAAGAGCATTTACAGCCTGCCCCTGCCTGCCTCCACTTCCTGAGTCCACTTTCCCACACCCCCACCTCCACCAATAGCCTCTGTCCTCCCTAGCTGGTCTGATTCCTCCTCATCTTCTAACAGTCCCCAGTGCTTTCCTTGTGCTCCGTCAAGTTCTTTGTTTGTTTGTTTGTTTGTTTTGAGATGGAGTTTCGCTCTTGTTACCCAGGCTGGAGTGCAATAGCGCGATCTCGGCTCACCGCAACCTCCGCCTCCCGGGTTCAGGCAATTCTCCTGCCCCAGCCTCCTGAGTCGCTGGGATTACAGGCACGCGCCACCATGCCCAGCTAATTTTTTGTATTTTTAGTAGAGACGGGGTTTCACCATGTTGACCAGGATGGTCTCAATCTCTTGACCTNAAAAAAAAAAAAAAAAAAAGAAGAAGAAACCATGGACAAGAGGTGAAGTGGGAGGAAAAACACAGGAAAGAAAAGTAGAAAGGGATATTCTTTTTTTTTTTTGAGGCAAGGCCTACCTCTGTCACCCAGGCTGGAGTGTAATGGCGTGATCTCAGCTCACTGCAACCTCTGCCTCACAGGTTCAAGTGATTCTCCTGCCTCAGCCTCCCAAGTAGCTGGGGCTACAAGTGCGTGCCACCATGCCCAGCTAATTTTTGTATTTTTAGTAGAGGCGAGGTTTCACTATGTTGGCCAGGCTGGTCTTGAACTCTTGACCTCAAGTGATCCACCCACCACCTTGGCCTCCCAAAGTGCTGGGATTACAGGCATAAGCCATCACACCTGACCATAATGTTCACTACCTTGACAGGGCTTGGATTACTCATATGTATGCATTTGTCAAAACTCATCAAATGATATCTTTAGTATTTGTGCATTTCACACAAATTTTTCATAGCAAAAATGTACCTCTACACCCACTCCCCTAAAAAAAGCCCATAGAGTCGGGTGCGGTGGCTCATACCTGTAATCCCAGCACTTTGAGAGGCTGAGGCGGGCGGATCACCTGAGGTCGGGAGCTTGAGACCAGCCTGACTAACATGGGGAAACCCCGTGCCTACTAAAAAACCAAAATTAGCCGGGCGTGGTGGCACATGCCTGTAATCCCAGCTATTTGAGAGGCTGAGGTAGGAGAATCGCTTGAACCTGGGAGACGGAGGTTGCAGTGAGCTGAGATGGAGCCATTGCACTCCAGCCTGGGCAACAAGGACGAAACTCCGTCTCAAAAAAAAAAAAAAAAAGAAAAGAAAAACTAAATGGAATTGGATCTGAAATAATTATTTATTTATTTATTTATTTTTGAGACAGTCTCACTCTGTGGCCCAGGCTGGAGTGCAGTGGCACAATCCTGGCTCCCTGTAACATCTGCCTCCTGGGTACAAGCTATTCTCCTGCCTCAGCCTCCCGAGTACCTGGGATTATGGGCGTGTGTTACCATGCCCAACTAATTTTTATATTTTTAGTAGAGACGGGGTTTTACTATGTTGGCCAGGCTGGTCTCAAACTCCTGACCTCAAGTGATCCACCTATCTTGGCCTCCCACAGTGCTGGGGTACAGGCATGAGCTACCATGCCTGACCTGAAACAATTTAAAAAATTGATAGAAAAAGAGTCCAGAAACAAACCGACACATATGTGTAAAAATTTAGCATAATCATAAAGGAGGCACTTTAAGAGTGAGAAAAGAATTCGAATTAGAGTCACAGCACCAAAAAATAATAATAATAAAATAATTTTAAAAAAGAGTAAGAAAACAACAGACTATTTAACAAGTCTGGGTTGGTGCTGGGAAACATCATCAAGTTGGGCTGGGTGCAGTGGCTTAAGCCTGTAGTCTCAGTGACTAGGGAGACCAAAACTGCTTTGAGTCCAGGAGTTTGAGGCCAGCCCGGGTAGCACAGCAAGAGCCTGTTTCTCAAAGCCAAACCAAACTAAACCAAAACAAAAAAACCCCAAAAACCCAAGATGAAACTCTACCACCTGTGGGTCTAAAAAATAAATTTCACAGTTTATTTTCAATTCTTGTTAAACCTGACTAGATGTGTTCTCTCTTAACATGATAAAATGCTGTAAATCCAGCTCTAATGCTGAAGAATCTCTAACAGCATTCCCATGGAAGTCAAGAACATGAACAAGCCAGAGTTGCCCACTATTATTTACTATTTTTTTCTGGATGTACTATCTAATGGAATTAGTAGAAAGTTGTAAGTGGTATAAAAATTGGAAAGGAGGGGAAAACCCTATCATTATTTATAGATATAATATCTGATATAATTTTTTTTGGGGATGGAGTTTCACTCTTGTTGCCTGTGCTAGAGTGCCATGGTGCAATCTCAGCTCACTGCCATCTCCACCTCCCAGGTTCAAGCAATTCTCCTGCTTCAGCATCCCAAGTAGCTGGGATTACAGGTGTGTGCCACTATGCCCAGATAACTGTGTAGTTTTAGTAGAGACAGGGTTTCACCATGTTGGTCAGGCTGGTCCGGAACTCCTGACCTCAAATGACCCACCCACCTTGGTCTGCCAAAGTGCTGCAATTAAATGTATGAGCCACCTTGCCCGGCTGCAACCTGATATAGTTTTTTATCTGAAAAGCCAACAGAATGAAATGAAAAGCCACAAAAACCAGACAATCTAACATAGTGGTTAGGTACAAAATTAAGATACCTTCAAAATTTAATATAGCTTTTGTATGAGCAGACATCTAGTTAGAAGAGATAATGGATAAAGAGTCCACTGATAACAGCAACAAATAAAATGTTACCAAGGGATGCCAAGGTTACTTGAAGAAACATAATCAATCATGTTTAACATCACCAAGATGTCTAGGTTGATTCATTAAAATTAATATGATTAATATGATCCTAAAACAAAATCATGAGGTTTTGGGGGGAAGTATCCAAAAGGATTCTAAGGAGAACAATGAGCATCTACCAAAAACTGAAGTGGGTATATCGTATGGCTTAGCATTTATTTCCCAGCTTCTACCTTAAAACACCAATAAAATTGAATTTTCCATTGGGTATGTAAGCAACTATGAAAAGCATTTTAAAAAGTTTAGGACCCACAGTAACTGGTAAAGGAATTAATTCTGGTAACTGCTGAGAGATAGCATGGTTTTGCCACTTATTAGATGGAGAAACCACTTGACTTCTTTGGATTTCAGAATTCTCATGTCTGTAAGATCGGAATGATGCCTAATTCAAAGGTTGTTGAAGTTAAATGTGTTAAATTGGTATTTTACTTGCAATTAAAATGGCCAGTGTCCTCTTTGGTTTCAAGTCATTTTTTTCTTTGTTTTTGAGACAGGTCTGGCTCTGTCGCCGAGGCTGTGGTGCAATGGTACGAATACAGCTCACTGTAACCTCTGCCTCTTGGACTGAAGCCATTCTCCTGCCTCAGTGTCCCTCCCACCTCAGCACCCGTGTACCTAGGACTACAGATGCACGCACCACCACACCTAGCTATTTTATTTTGAATTTTAGTAGAGGCAAGGTCTCACTACGTTGCCCAGGCTGGTCTGCAACTTCTGGGCTTAAGTGATCTGTCCTATTGGGCTTCACAAAGTCCTGGGATTACAGGCCTGAGCCACTGGGGCCAACCAACTCATATTTCATACGGTTGAAAATGACCATAAGGGTCAGGAGCACTGGCTCACGCCTGTAGTCCCAGCACTTTGGGAGCCAAGGCGGATAGAGCACTTGAGCCTGGAGTTCCTGACCAGCCCAGGTAACACGGCAAAACTCCATCTCTAAAAAAAAAATACAAAAATTAGCTGGGGATAGTGGCCTGCACGTGTAGTACCAGCCACATGGGAGGCTGAGGTGGTGCAGGTTGAGGTGCAGGTTGAGGCTAGAGCCCTGAAGGTGCAGGTTGCAGCGAGCTGTGATTGCACCACTGCATTCCAACCTGGGCGACAAAGCGAGATCCTGTCTCAAAATAAATAAAAAAAGAAAGAACACTGGTGAGCTTGGACTTGTGAAACAGGGAAACAAGCAAATAAAAATAAATGGAAAATTTGTTTTTAGAAAAGGAAAATGAGCATGAGACATTAGACATGTAATAATTTTAAAACGCAAATGATCTCTTTATTCGCAACTCTTAGGACGCAGCCCCCAAATGAAAATAAGTAAAAAGCTTCTGAGCCCTTAAAATAGCCCTTACAAACGCTCAGCATTAAATGCAAGCTTATAAACACATACTCAGCATCTTGCTGACTTTTTGACATACATCTTAAAGAGGTCTGATGCTATTCTTTCCCAGGGCACAGCAGATCAGCCATAACTAGGAAGGAGGGACTATCAAAAGCGGATACGCTGACTGCAGTGTTAAGTGGTATCAAGCAGGACGACACGGTACAATACAGAAATGGTTCAGTGGCATCCTCTATCTGGCATGTTGAAAGTTAGGGAGGCAAATATATTCTAGAAACAGATTATCATCTTTTAAGACTTCGGAGCCCGTGGTTTATGAGTCGGCGAGCAGGCATCAAGTCCCTGGCACCGCGGAAAAGCACGGCGGGAAAGGCGCAAGGCGATCGAGAGGGTGCCGAGGTGTAGAGCAGGGACGCCGCCCCGGCGCGGCTCGGCTTTAAGACCTGTCCTCCCCCTCGCACTGAAACTGAGCAGGGCCACTTCGCGGGCTAGGCTCTGGGTAAAAGATGCTATCATCAACCGGGTTCTCCCACTACCTGCTACAAGTCACGAGAGGCCACTTCTGCTGGAACATTACCTCTGGTTTCTACAAGAACCAAACAAAAAGCCCAGAACTACATTACGCAGGGGCGACCCCAACGAGACCCGCCCTCAGCGGTCCCTGCACTCCTTCGGGCCCAGGTGCATCCTGGAGCCATTCGAGACAGCACCCACGGCCCCACCACTCCCCATCCGCTGTGCCCGCGCGGGAGGAGGAGGAAGGGGCTGGCACGCGCCAGACCTGGTGCGCTTGGAAGAGGCGGCAGCTGCAGCAGCGTAGGACCCGAAAAAGCTGAGGCGGCGCCATTCTGGCCTGTGTAGTCGGCCGCCGCGCGCGCACGCATTCAGCGCTTGGCCAGTCGCGGCCCCGCCCCACGTACGCGCTCGGGCTTCTCCAGTCCCCTGCGCCGCCTCGCATGCGCGTACGCTCTTCGCTCGGCCTGCCGCAGCCCCGCCTCTGCGAACTGGGTTCCCTCTATCCTTCCGCGCCTCTCGCTGGTCGTCTGAGCCCTTCTGGATCTCAGGAGTTTTGGATCCCTGTGGGTGCGTGTTGCTTGCTCGCAGACCTGTCGTCTGACCAGGGCAGTGCGCGCGTCCTCCTAAGGCAGCGGCTTCCGGCCTTGGGAGACTGGAGTTGAGACAGCAGGGCTTCCGCTTCCCTGTTCTGTGGGCTAACGCACAATGTGGAGCGGGGCTGAGGGGCCGCCCTGCCCGGCTCGGGCCGGCTTGGTACGCGCGGCAGCGCATTTAGGCAGTGACGAAGTTAGCCTTTGAGACGGGGGGGCTCACCAGACCCACGCTTCCCGGAGAGGGCGGCGGAGGCGCGAAGCCGCCGAGCGCGAAGCTGGTGCCCCGGGAGCGCCCCAGGCCCACCCGGTGGAGGGCTTGGGCGCCCTACAGCCCGTCACTCACCCGGCAACCCTTCGTGGCTAGGCTTGTAGCCTTGTTGGAAAAAGAAATACAAAAAATTTTTAAATTACCTGCAAATCTCTGTGGCTAGGGTTGTAATTTTCATTTTAAAAAATGTTTTATTTTCCAACTTTTGCGCAGTATTTATCAGGAAAAAAAAAAGCGAGCCGACACTTTTATTTTTTTTGAGAGAGAGTCTCGCTCGCTCTGTCGCCCAGGCTGGAGTTTAGTGGCGTGATCTCGGTTCACTGCAGTCTCTGCCCTCCGGGTTCAAGCGATTCTCCTGCCTCAGCCTCCCGAGTAGCTGGGATTACGGGTGGCCGCCACCACACCCAGCTAATTTTTTTATTTTTAGCAGAGATGGGGTTTCTCCATGTTGGTCTCTAACTCCTGACCTCAGGTGATCCACCCGCCTCGGCCTTCCAAAGTGCTGAGATTGCAGGCGTGAGCTACAGGACCTGGCTAACACTCACTTTTAACAGCAGAAACCATCCCGTTAAAGAAACACCCAATCCTGACGGGTGCGGGGAGAACCGTCAAATGCAAAACCGTGGAAAGAAACCTGGCAATTAATTACTGCAACCCCAAGAAAGGAATCCCTTCACCCAGGTGATTTATTATTCATGCCCTAGTGTCCCCTCAAGTATACCAGGAATAAATGGAAATCAGTGTTCTGAAGAACGGCACGGACCCTTACGCAGTTCCATCAGCAAGAACTTGAGTTTGAAGTGACAACATGCTGTGGAGAAGCAAGGTTACAAAATTACAGTACATCGTTAGAATTCTGTGACACCAGCATTATTTCCTGGTGTGTGTGTGTGGCTAAGGTTGTAGGTAACGTTAATTTTTTTTCCAACTTTTGCACAAACAGAAAAAAAAAAAAAAAATGAGAGACAGTATGCCAACAGACAGTGCCCAGACAACGCATGACAATGAACGGACAGTGCCTGCAGTAACCAGGCAGCTGGCGGCGTGGTAAGGAGTGGTCAGGAGTACCTGCCTGCTCCTCTATTTTTTGTACCACCCTCCCATTATCAGAACCAAGCCGAGAAAGTGGAATATGCTGCCCAAACCAGTCACAGAAAACATCCTGCTTCTTGTTAGCTCACCTCGAGTTTCCAATAGGGTGTAGTCAGAACCACCTGGAGCCTTTCCCGTTTTCCACCCCCAGGCACTTGCACCCACCCACGCTCGGTGATGATGCTGACTCCCACAACGTTTCTCATTTGGGTGGTCTTCCTTCATTTCCACGTTTAAGTTATTGTGGCTGAGAACAGAAGGCATCTGCAAAGAATGTTTTATGCTTAATGAAAAGAGTAAAAATTTCATATATGACATCGGTTAAACCGAAAAAAATTTCAGAATCAACACCAAAATACTGAGAAGTAATCTGTAGCACTAGGAAAAAATTGTTTTTCTACTTTTCTGTATATTTTTCTCCTTTTGGCAATAAAGAACATGAAAATCATTTTTATTTTTCTTATTCACCTGGGTGCAGGTGGACTAAGGCCAAAAAGGGCATTAGCCAGAACATCAAAATCCTTTAAAAATTCAGGTATATAGATTTTTTTCATCAAAATCCTTTAAAAATTCAGGTATATAGATTTTTTTCTTGGAAATTATAAGAATGATTTGATGAGTGGTTTGATATGACTTACATTACTCAGTAGGCAGTTTTAAAATATTCATGTTTACTTATAATTTAAATGTTTTATTTGTATGATCTATTATTTAATGTTACTGTTCTGATTGTTAAACATTTTGAATTATTTACCCAGGTTGAATGATTTATGGATGAAAGGACTATTGTACATTTTTGTACATTGTATCATGTGAATAGGCCAGATTCCTCTTTTATATTCTTGGGTGTAATTTATTTGGTGTATTCACAAGCTTATACTTCCACATATTAAAAACATTTATCTTACCTCTGTAAAGACAAAAAGATGAAAAAAAGGCATTTATCCAAATTCCAAGTTATTCAAATCTACTTGAATATAATCAATTTAAGACTTGAAATTACTAAATGTATGAGGTTATTATATCTTAATTATAGTATAGCCAAGAACAGTCTTTTTGGTATAAATCATTTGAAATTATTTTATGGTAGTTTATGTAAATACTAGAAAGGAAATTAAAGCCAGGCATGATGCTGCATGCCTGTAGTCCCAAGCTACTTAGGAAGGCAGCAGCATGAGAATCACTTCAGGCCAAGAGTTTGAGCTGCAGTGAGCTATGGTCATGCCTGGATAGCAGAGTGAGACCCTGTCTCTAAAACGAACAAAGAAGCAAAGCTACTTAGTTAAAACAAAAACAGCCTCCAAAGAGATATACAGTAGTATCTCTTGAGTTTCACTTTCTGCAGCTTTAGTTACCCAAAGTCAAAAGCCACCTGGAAAAGAGATGAGTACAGTACAAGAAGATACTGAGACAAACCACGTTTACAACTTTCATTACAGTATAACTGTTACATTTTATTATTATTGTTAGTCTCTTTTTTTTTTTTTTTT